AGTAAAGATTATGTAGCTTAAGCATTATTGTTTGTAGTTAAAGTGATTAACTACCCGCCTGGCACTTAGTTAAGGGGTTTTATCCCCTCCCTAACTTCAGGGAAAAATCCCTACCTGGGGAAACAACCTTTCTCGGAGAGGTGACCTTGGTTAAAACACATAGCGCTAAGGGGAACAAACATATTAAGAACAGTATGCCATATACACCAGGTCCCTTGAAACATATGCTGTGCAGATGTTTCTTTCCTGCAGCGACTGTGTCAAGCAGCAAGGATGGACCGGCTTCCGGCACATCCCCACACTGGAACCAATCCCCAGAGTCCCCTTTCATTTGTCTGGGTAGTTCAGAATGAGGCCCGGCATTAGGTTTGTTGTAAAACGCCCCAGTTCATTCTAATGCAAGCATGTCAAACTCAAAGACTAACATGGGCCAAATAAACAAAGTTTAGGTATATGTGGGCCACACAAAACCAAAAGCTTCAATTTTCATAGAAATGTAGGTTTATTTCAATAGAGACATGCTGAATACAAAGGGCTGAAATAAGTGAGTAATCATTAACAAAATAATAGAACATTTTATTAAAAATTAATATTTTTTCTTGAACATTAACTTACCAGACACTGAATAACTGCACAAAATAATAAGTGTTACGCAAATAAACCTATATTTTTGTTCTCCAAAAGCGAAATATTTCCTGGTGTGCATACCAAACAAGTCAGTCCAAGACTAATGACATGGAATTGGCTGCTAAAATGTTTGCTACGGGTAAGGTGCATAAGGGAAATGAATGCAACATGATTATAGTAATCAGTCATTAGCGAACGTTGTAGTTCATTATTAATAACTAGAGGCCCAGTGCACGAATTTGTGCATGGGTGGGGTCCCTCAGCCTGGCTTGCGATCAGAGCGATTGGGGCTATCTCGCCCAGTCCTCAACAGGGCAGGCCAGTGGTGGGGAGGGACCGTGGGAGGTTGGCTGTGGGAGCACACTGACCACCCGGGGGCAGCTCCCGCATTAAGCATCTGCCCCCTGGTGGTCAGTGCACATCATAGCGACCAGTCGATTGGTCGTTAGGTCGACTGGGTATAACGGTCGCTTAGGCTTTTATATATATAGATTATGTATAACAGGATATTGTAAAAATTAAGTTATGGATTTTTTATTAAAACATTTCTTACATACTGTTATATTGACTGGGCTGCAAAAATATTTGGTGTGGGCCGTTTGTTCTAATGTGTGGCCAAGGTTGACAGTTACTTTGCTACACTGTACTGCCTCCCGTGGAGGATGACAGGAGCCCAGCACATAAAACGACATTCTCCCTGAGCTTTCTGAGAGGTGAGGTCAGCTGGAAAACACTCTCTCTTTCAGATTGGAATAAGAATCATAGAATCTTAGATCTAGATGTTGCCTTAGGAGTCATAGATTGTTGAGCTATAAGGACCTCTAATCAGATTGCCAATGATACTGATGAAAAACAGAGGCTCAGAAAGGTAATGAGGGGTGGAGAGACAGGAGCAACGAAATCCCAGAACTCAGCCAAGCTCTTCAAGGCACCCATCAGAGAAAAAAGCACTTCCTTCTCTCACCAAAAAGAAATGAAAGCAGCCCCCCACGTCAGTAGATTACCCCCAAGTCATAAGAATTATAGTAAAATTTGTCTGTTTAATTCAGCATCTTAAAACATTTTTCAGAAAAAACTTGATCAATCTGAATCCCAATTGTTAAAGTGATAACCGGCAGGCCGAGTGTTTTGTTTGATCGGTGCTGTTTTAAAAAAGTTGACCGGACATTTAAACGTTGAGAGAGTTCACATAAAATTTCAGAGAATGTACTTCTCTTGAAAGCTTGGGATATTTGGCAAGTGGACCTGCATTCCTGTCGGTAACAATTGGCCGAGCTGGGTCACTGTGGCCCATCGAAAGCAGGTCCCAGGCCTCCCCTTTCTGTCACAGCCCCCACTACTTCCAGTCGCATCCATGCTCCAGGCTGGCTAAATGTCACTGCAAAATTTAAAACGAAAGTTGACATCTCGTAAATGCCAGAATCCTCCACCCAGTCTGTTTCATGCATTTACATCAACTACTTGGCCCTAGTAGCATTTGAATCTGCAACTCCTGATCATGTTGTCATAGTTCACCATAATTCGCCATACGCTGGGGCAGAAAGAGCAACTCCTCTGCTCACTTCTGAGTGGAGAAGCTGCCCGGGCTGGTGGGGACTGGAGGAGGGGCCTTGACAAAGAGCGGAGGGGGCTGGATCTTCTATTCTTCGGTTTCTGATCACATGGCTTCGTTTCAGTCATCGTGACACACCACAGACTGTCAGAGTTTTTCATTAGAAATCTCCACTCCATCAAGAATCTTCTTTCTGCCTGTTAATTTGGGCTATTCTCCCGTCTCAGAACATCCTCCGTCTTCATCTGAAGTCCATTTGTTCTTCCAGGCTCAGCCTCCTGGGTGACTCTGATCTGTGTGGTTCTCTCCCTTCTCAGAAATTCCTATGACATCAAGTCAGTAGAGAAACCATATGCTCTTTTGATTTCTCCAGAACAGAGAACACGCTCCTTCGGTTTGCCTACTTGTAATGTTTGAATCTCCCTAACACCCAGGATGATGCTGAACAAACAGGATCATCTCAACAGACCCTGTACTTTTAAAAAAAAATTTATTGTTGATACTATTACAGATGCTTCTCATCACTCCCCACCCCTTTGTCCCCACTCTTCTGGCCTTCACCACACTGTTGTCTTGACCATGGGCTATGCATACATGTTCTTTGGCTAATCTCTTCACCTTCTTTATTGCAGTCCCTCCTTAAGTCCTCCCTCTGACATCTGTCAGTTTGTTCCATGTATCCATGCCTCTGTTTCCATTTCGTCCATCAGTGTCTTTTGTTCATTAGATTCCACATATAAGTGAGATCATATGGTATTTGTCTTTCACGGTCTGGCTTATTTCACTTGGCATAATAGTCTCCAGGTCCTGCTACCGCAAAGGGTAAGATCCTATGCTTTGACTCAGCGTTCCCTCTGCCTTCCTCGGCCTATCAGAGCAGGTGATGCAGATCCTACTTTCGGCCACTAGAGGGCGATCGTCCACACGCATCTTGCCCTGCCCATGTTCCCAGCTGCACAGATTACTAGAGCCTCTGGAAGTAGGGCAGGCTCATTTATTTCCTCTCCAACACAGCCTCAGGCCGCTAGAGCCTCTGATGCCAGGGTCCCTGCCGTGCAAACAGCAGAACGAAAACACTGCAAATAAGAAAGGTCACTGCATCTGCTCTGCACATTTATTTCTCACCTGAAATCTCCGCTTCACTAGCAACGTCCCAGCTCAGGCTCTGAATATTTTCCCCAGCTCAATATTCCAGCAGGAGGGAAACTACATCTGTGACTACTGCGCACATGTGTGTGTATGTGTTTACAGATTATTACATCAGATTCATGGCCCAGGATTGTGTCAAAGAAGGTTTCCATCCATCCTCCCGGCCCTCAGTCCCTGGGAAGTTCCTGATTAGGGCCCTGATGCTCCAACTCTGCTCTGCTTTGGCTGCTGTTGTTTTCCACAAATAACAAGACTGACCTTTTAAAACAGGCCCTATCAAATTGCAGCAGCCTTAAGGCAGAGGCAGCGGTCAGGTTTTATCTGAGCGATTTGATGAGCCCAAAGTAACAATATGAAGGGAGCACTGTAGGTCTGGAAATGGGACCGATGCCACGAGGGTAGGAAGCGCAGAAGGGTAGGTACCTAAGGTAAGACTAATCACGCATGCCCATGGGCCCACCATGGTGTCACGTTGGTACTGCGGATGATGATGCTGGCATTGGTTGAGTCAGAGGGACAGCAAGGGCTTGGCAAGTGCATATGTTTGTCAGAGATTCACACGGATTTCCAGACACTGGGAAGAAAGCTTGCCTAGAGCTCAACTTGGACTAGTGAAGACCTGGACTCAAAAGCCCTAAGCACAAGCTTCCTGGCCCGGACTAACATGTTGCAAGGTCATCTCACTGGCAGCTTCTAAGAAGCATTCAGATCTACTGGCAAACTTTACGTGTCTATTTCATCCATCACCAACACCACCATCAAAAGGATGCACTTATTAATAGAGGCAGCATAGCATCTCTGAGGCCAGACTCCCTGAGTGGGGATTACAGTTCTGACATTTATTAGCCAGAACTTAAACTCACTACCTCAGTTTATTCACCTGTAAAATATGACTGATAATAGTACCCACTTCAGTGGATTACTCTGAAGATTAAATGAGTTAATCTATATATATAAAAGGCTAATATGCAAAGTGTCCCCTCGGGCGGGAGTTCCACCAACTGGGCTTGCTATGACAAGCACTGACCACCAGGGGGTGGCGCAGAATGAAGGAAAGCCCCGGCTGGGGGCTGGCAGCCAGGGAAGGGAGGTGGAGAAGGGAGGCCCCAGCCGGCAACCAGCAGCCAGCAGTCGCTAGGGACCCTACCAGTACAGAACTCAATAGCAGAGTTAGTATTATTAAAATGCCAATATTACCCAAAGTGGGCTACAGGGTCAGTGCAATCCCTATAAAATTGCAATGAGTTGTTTGTTAATCCTCACCCTGGGGATATTTTTCCATTGAATTTTAGAGAGAGTGGAAGGGAGGAGGAAGAGACAGAGAGAAACATTGATGTGAGAGAGACACAATGACTGGTTGCCTCCCACACACACCCAGATAAGGGTCGGAGATTGAGCCTGCAACAGAGGTACATGCCCTTGACCAGGAATTGAACCTGGGACCCTTCACTCTATCCACTGAGCCGACCAGGAATTGAACCTGGGACCCTTCACTCTATCCACCGAGCCAAACTGGCTAGGTTTCTCTCTCTCTCTCTCTCTCTCTCTCTCTCTCTCTCTCTCTCTCTCTCTTCCTTCTTTCCTTCCTTCCTTCTTTCCTTCCTTCTTCCTTTCTTTTTAATTTTTTTCCTTTTTAATCCTCACCCAACGATATTTTTCCATTGATTTTTAGGGAGAGTGGAAGAGAGAGCGAAAGACAGAGAGAAACATCAATGTGCGAGAAACACATCAATTGTTTGTCTATTGCACGAGCCCTGACCAGGGCCTGGACTGGGGAGGAGCCTGCAAGCAAGGTACGTGTCCTTGACGGGAATCAAACCAGGGGAACCTTTGGTTCATAAGCTGATGCTCTATCCACTAAGCCAAACTGGCTAGGGCTTTTTTTTTTTTTTTAGAAGTAGTAGAAAAATATATTCTAAAATTCATATGGAATCTCAAGGTACCGTGAATAGCCAAAACAATCTTGAAACAACAAAGTTGGAGAGCTCATCCTTCCTGGTTCCAAAACTTACTTCAAAGCCACAGTAATCAGAACACTATTGTACTGACATATAGAGCATCAATGAAATAGAATAGAGAGCCCAGAATAAACTCTCACATTATGTTCAAATGCTTTTGGACAAGATAGCAAGACTGTTCAGTGGGGAAAGGGCAGTCTTTTCAACAAATGGTGTGGAAAAACTAGATATCCACATGCTGAAGAGTGAAGTTGAAGCCTTATCTTATACCATATACCAAAATTAATTTAAAACAGATCAAAGAACTAAGCATAAGAGCTAAAATTTAAGGTAAAAGCTTCATTACATTGGATTTGATGATGATTTCTTGGATATGACACCAAAAGTCCAAGCAACAAAAGAAAAAACAGATAAATTAGACTACATCAAAATTAAAAATTGTGCATCCAAGGATACAGCCCACAGAATGAAAAGACAACCCACAGAATTAGAGAAAATATTTCAAATCTTATATCTGATAAGGGTACAATATGCAGAATATATAAGGAACTCCTACAACTCAGCAATAACAACAACAAGCCTGATTTAAAAGTGGGCAAATAACTTGAATAGACATTTATCCAAAGATGATACAGTAGCCAACAAGCACATGAGAAGGTGTTCAACATTGCAATCATTAGGACAATGTAAATCAAGACCATAATGAGATAATTCACACCCATTAGGTTGGCTACTATAAAAAATAATGATAACAAGTGTTGGTGAGGATGTGGAGAAATTGGAACCTTCATGTGATGCTGGTGGGAATGTAAAAATGATGCAGCCACTATAGAAAACAGTATGGCAGTTCCTCAATTAAAAGTAAAATTACAGTATAAACCAGCAATTACATTTCTGGGTATGTAGACCCAAAAGAATTAAAAGCAGGGTCTCAAAGAAGTATTTGTACACTTATGTTCATAGCAACATTATTCAAGATAGTCAAAACCTAGAAGGAAGCAACCACAGTATTCATAGATAAATGGATAAACAAAATGTTATATGTACATACATGGAATATTATTCAGGCTTTAAAAAGAAGGAAATTCTGACACATGCTCCAGCACGGATAAGCCTTAAAAGCATTGTGCAGAGTGAAATAAAACAGTCACAAAAGTACAAATACTGTATGACTACACTTATATGAGGTACCTAGAGTAGTCATGTTCCTAAAGGAAGAAAGTAGAACAGTGGTTGCCAGGGGTTGGAGGGAAGGAAGAACAGGGAGTTCTTGTTTAATGGGTAGAGAGTGTCCATTTTGCAAAATGAAGGGTTCTGGTGATGGATGGTGGCGATGATTGCACAACACTGTGAATGTGACTTAATGTCACTAACTGAACACTTCAAAATAGTTGAGATAGTAAATTTTATGTTATATATATTTTACCACAAGTTAAAAAAACATGGATAAGAAAATATTCAAGTATTCATTCATTCAACAACTACTCCTGGAAGACTGACATGTGCCAAGCGCTGTGTGGAATGCAATGGTGAGAAAAATAGATAGTCCTGCCCTAATGAGGGTTACATTCTAGTGGGGACAGAGGCAATAAAAATATAAACAGAGAAATGGACAAGGTAGTTTAGATACTACAGAGACCTAAGGGAAGTTAGCAGGGTGATGTGCTAGTGAATGACTTAAAGGCTGGGGTTTACCTAGGATGGAATGATCAAGCAAAACAAGTCTGAAAGACTGACATGTGAGCTAAGATCTGAAAGACAAAAAGAATAAACAGGCAAAGAGCCAGATTACAGGTGCAAAGGCCTCGAGTTAGGAAAGAGCTTAGAAAATTCAGGGAACAGAAAGAGGACCTGGGACTGGAGCATAAAGAGTAAGGGGAGAATGGGAAAGGACGGGCTTGGAGAGCCAGGCCACGGCTACTTCATGTGAGGCTTTGTTCACTGGACTAAGGTGTGTAGCTTTTACTCTGCATGATCCAATCGATGTTTTAAAATGTGTGTGTGTGTGGGGGGCGGGGGGCGGGCAGGGATGGAGAGTGAAAGCAGTGAGACCAGGGAGGAAATGAGAGGTGATGGCAGCTTTCAGACATGTTTTGCTTGATCATTCCATCTTAGGTAAACCCCAGCCTTTAAGTCATTCACTATCACATCACCCTGCTAACTTCCCGTAGCTCTCTGTAGTATCTAAACTACCTTGTCTATTTCTCTGTTTTTATTTTTATTGCCTGTGTTCCCACTAGAATGTAGCCCTCATTAGGGCAGGACTATCTATTTTTCTCACTATTGCATTCCACACAGCGCTTGGTGATGGCAACTAAAGTGGAAGCAGCAGACATGGAGTGAAGTGGATGGATTTTAGATAGATTTTTGAGTTAAAACACAGGATTGCTGATAGTCTGATCTGACAGTGGAGGTTGAGGGAAAGGAAGAAATTAATCATTATTTCTAGGTTTTCTTGACATGAGTGGGTGGTGGTGGTATTTACCAAGACAGTGAAAGAAGCAGACTGGGCCAGAAGAGTTAGATTTTGTACATGTTACATTTAATGTGAATATTAAATGTGCGAATGGAAATGTCAAATAGGCATTTGTATATACAAAGGAGAGGTCAGGCCTGGGAACATAAACCTGGGAGTCATCAGCGAATACATATCTAGAGCCAAAAGCCTGGTTGCTATTCTAGGGAGAGATCATGTTCTGGATGTTTTACGTGGCCGTTTGCCTGGAATAGAGAGTGTGTTTGAGCCCCTGAGTAAGGAGGTCTCGCAGCAGCTTCCCATTGGAGCAATTCCTCTCTCCGGGCTCACATGTGCAGGGCCAGGTTCTATCAGACATTGAAGAAGAGGGAGAACTGCAGGGGTCTAGGGGTTTTCTCTTTCCACTTCTTCCAAGTTTTTATTCAGGGAGCACGTTTTCAGTGAAGGCCAAACACAAGTTAATTGACTTGCTTTCTTTGTTCCCACTTGGAGCATAGCATGGGATAGAAATTATGGGAAGCAGATGAGAGAAGTAAGTGTGATTCCTCCCTGTTAGAAACTTAACTATAGTGGTTCCTTCCTTATCCGTGGGGGCTATGTTCCAAGACCCCAGTGGATGCCTGAAACCTCGCAGAGTACTGAACTCTACATATACTATGTTTTTTCCTATACATACATATATATGATAAACTTTAATATCTTTTTAAATTAAACCTTTATTATTGAACTATTACATATGTCCCCTTTCCCCTCCATTGACCACTTCTAGCTAGCCCCCGCCCCCTGCCCCAGGCTTTCACCAATCTAGTTCTTTGGTTGATCTCTTCTCATCCTAATTTCTAAAGTAGGCAATTTCATGGATAAAATGTTCTTTCTTACCATAGAGCTTAGTAACTTTATCATATGATTTTTTTCCTTTTCTTATTAAGTCAAGAACTTTCACTTTTTCACTTAAAGGAAGCACTTTACGGCTTCTCTTTGGCATATTTAAATCATAGATAACACTACTCTTGTGCTTTCGGGCCATTATGAAGTAAAATAAGGGTTACTTGAACACAAGCACGGCGATACCGCCACCGTCTATCTAATCACCAAGATGGTTACCAAGTGACTAACAGGTGGGAAGTGTGTAGTGTGAAGACGCTGGACAAAGGGATGATTCACGTCCTGGGTGGAACAGAGTGGGATGGTGCAAGATTTCATCATGTTATCCAGAATGACATGCAATTTAAAACTTATGGATTGTTTCTTTCTGGAATTTTCCATTTAATGTTTTTGAATCACAGTTGACCATGGATAACTGAAACATCAGAAAGTAAAACTGTAGATAAGGGTCGACTATTATATTCAGAAAAAAGAAAATTAATGAAAAAGTTAAATAATCATAGGTAAGGCATTATATGGGTTCAGTGCAGGAAAGGGGAACCACCCATTTTATGAGAGAGAGAGAGAGAGAGAGAGAGAGAGAGAGAGAGAGAGAGAGAGAACTAGGTGCATAAGAAATTGTAGAAGGATTCAGCAGTTGACTCTGAACTGGCCCTCATGACCGACTCCAATTACATTTCAGAACTGACCACCAGGGAACTGGCAACTCTGAAGGCACCACCAGATCTGCTGAGTTCAAGAACTCACTTTGACAAGCTGCCAAAGACAACCTAGAATCAGGAAGCTGCCAGCATTGTGCCACTAAGGACATTGCCTCTCAACACTCATAAAACAATGGGACCTGGACCACAGACCAGCCATGCCTTACCCCACACCACGCCTCCTGCACACAGCTCTCAGTACTCAGGAATGGACATGGACTATTGTAGATGAAATATTTAGCAACTCCATAACCCTTTTTGCCATTTGAAAACAGCTCAGGTCAAGGAGATGGTCTCTATCTCACTGTTGCCTTTCAAGTCCAGCTCAAGTTCACCCACTTGTCAGAACCTATTGCCTGTCCTGAATCCTAGCGGCAGCAGAGTCAGGGAAATGTACTGTTCCGCTCTCTCACCTCTGAGGTTCAGGGAGGGGCCTTAGGAGAGCTTCTCAACTGGGGGTGATTTTGCTCTCCCTTTCCTGGCCTTGAGACATTTGGCAATGCCTGGAGACACTGCTGCTTGTCACAACTGGGAGGCGGGTACTACTGGTGTCTAGTGAGTAGAAGCCAGAGTTATTGCTAAACATCTTATGATACACAAGCCAGCCCCCACAACAAAGAATCATCTGGCTTAAAATGGCTGAGGTTGAGAAATTGTGCTACAGAAAGAGAGTGAAA